GTTTGGCCAACAATTCCTTACTGCTTTATACTCGCCTCTCTCCAATCGAAAACAAATGGGGGTGGGGGGGGATGAAGTTTGCGAGACAGGCGTGCCGTGCCGAACGTGCTCACAACGGCGTGTGTAGCCACACCGATCGTTGATGCTGAGGACACACCACTCGCCAAATGTAACCTCTTGTTCCGAAGGATTGTGGCGGAATTTTCTCTCACGGTTGCACACAAATCGTATCCGTGGAGTCTGCTCATGTACTGTACAGCAGTGCCAGGTAGTTGTTTTGCACTGAGTATTCTATGCGTCGCATTGCTTTTTCCTTGCGGGGTGGAGAGTTCTGAGTCCGGAGGACATCTTGCGGGGTTGTCCATCTCCTCGAATGTACTGCTGCACGCTGCGATCTCAAAGCGATTATTTCGCATGTCTTCGTTTTTTTTTTTTTTCAAAGTCAGAACGAGTTAACTTGTCATTTGCAGATGTAGAGTCCAGGATTGCTCTATGATGTGTAATTTTGCATGCGCAAGAAGGTGAGACAATGATGTTGAGCGCTAGCGTATCGTGCCTCCTTGACCCCAATCGAACCTTGTCCGTATCCCTCACCCCTGAGCATTTGCACCGTGTTTGTGTTGTTGTTGCACCTCCTTACGATATGATAGGGTGAAGAGCGCAAAGCAATTGACGTCATATTTGTGTTGCCGCACCTCTATGTAATACTAAGGGGGGAAGAGCGCACGACAACCCTGACATTTATTGATTAGTTTGCGTTGCCGCACCTCAATGGAACAGGGTGCAGAACGCACAGCAACCCTGACAATTGACGTTGTGTTTGTGTCGTCGCACCTCCATGCGACAGGGTGAAGAGCGCAAAGCCGGGCGAGAACGTTACGGTGAAGGTTGTTTGCAGCGACAGCGACGTCATGAGGGGCTTCGTGCTCTGCTCCACCGTTCAGCCGTGCCACGCCGCCACGCTCTTCGTTGCCCAGATCGCGCTGGTGGAGCTGACAGAACAGGCAAGACATGTGTAGAATGCCTGCCGTAAGCATCGATGCTGGGGTGTTCCGACGTCACATGTTTCCAACCCGACCCTTAACCCTAAACCTAAACCCAAGGTTACACAACCCTTACCCTTATCCTCCCCGTGCGATTGGATCCTTTGTTGCCCCATTTTATACGAATGTTTTCCCCAACCGTGTATTTATCTTCAACCGTTTCCCGGAACCCCGCAATCATCACTCACAGAAATTGTTTCTCGTGAACCGTTTCCGGAACCCCGCGATCGTCACCGAACCGAACCATTCGTCCCTCAGAGACCGATTTTTACCGCGGGGTACGACGCCATGTGCCACTGCCACACGTGCGAGGAAGAGTGCACGGTGGTTGAGATCCTGAGCGTGGTCGACCGCAAGACCGGGGCTAAGAAGAGGCAGCGCTTCGCTAAGGAGGGAGCCATGGTTACGGCGAAGTTCAAGGTAGGTGCTACGGTAATAACAACATTTCACGCTAGGGTTAGGGTCAGGGAGCCATGGTTACTGCCAACTTCAAGGTGAAGCAAGTGCTGCAAAGTCTAAGGTCTCCTTGTTTGAGGTGAAGAAGGAGCTTCAAGGTGAGACAAGTGCTATTAAGTCTAAGGTCTCCTTATTTGAGGCGCTAAAGGAACGTTTTACCGTAGGGTTACGGTTAGGGAGCCATGTTCACGGCCAAGGGTAAGGTGAGGTAAGTGCTACAATAGCAACATTTCAACTCTCACCTATTAACCTCTCACCTATGCATACTCTTGTTAGTAAGAGTCCCTTATTTTGCCCGAGACCCGCTGCTTTTTCCCTCTTGGTGAAAACCCACCATGGAATATTATTGTACAAGCAAGGTTTTATGTGCAAGGGTGGGCTTCGAGTACTTGTGCTTGGAAAGGTAAGGATCCTGGACCTCCTTTTCTATGGCAACCGGGTTCGTCGTGTCGCTCTGTTACATATTGCTATTGGGAGTGGAGACACCGCGATTGTGGCGGGTGCACTCTCGCTTATTTCTTGATCAGTCCGTTTCAATGCTGAAAGCTTGAGACACCACAGCAGCAGCAGCAGCAGCAGCGTTGTTGCTGCGTCTCAGCTGTTGAGATGCCGAACAAGAACGCCTGCTACGTGCGTCACGTCAGGTGGATCGCTCGATGTGCATGGAGTCCTTCGAGGAGATGCCGCACTTGGGACGATTCACTCTGAGAACGGAGGGGAAGACAATCGCGATCGGGAAGATTCTCGCCGTGCAGAAGCCCGTCTCCAAGTGATGCGGTGGCAGCAGCAGCAGGCATGGCGTAGCACGGTGAGCTTGCTGGCGAAAGTAAGGCTGCTGTATACAGGTTTACTAGTTGATATGATCGTTGAAGTTCGCCGGTCTGTTCGAGTCAACAAGCCGTCAGCTGTGTGAGCTGTTGAGCTTGGGAAACGTCGCACCACCGTTGGCAGCCAGCTGTGGGTTGGTCCCGCCGGCCTGGTTTATTTCATCTTGCTTCACATCTCTTGATAACGCTGCTGTGCTCTCACGAACCCACTCCAGAGGGATTCCTTGTTTCATGGGTGTTCTTGGTTCTGCCTGAGTGAGTGAGAATCATGTGCCCGTCTGTCTGTCGTGCGTATGTGGCACTCTCTATCTCCGTCCAAGCATCCCGCTAGTGGTAAGTTCTTCCTGTCTGAGTGAGTGAGAATTCATGCGCCCTTGCTGTCTTCCGTGCGTACATGACCACGAGCATGCCCATCCTCACTCTGTCCATGCATGCCCCTCGTTGTTTTCCCGCCGTCTGCCTTCCTCCCTGCGCCTCGGGTAGGGGTGGTGGCCCTGCGATGTAGCAGGAGGTGGCAGAGGCGATTGTTTCCTGTCGGACACGCAGCCAATGAAATGAACTTGAACGAAGTCTCCCGTGCCTCCTAGCGAGTGGTCTGGCGAAGAGTTGTTCTGATGCCCATGAGACCAACGAGCGAATGACTGATGGTCAAGGCCTCGAAAGTGGCTGCTGACAGTCCGACCCACGTTTTTTCCGTTTGCGTAAAGTGCCATGGTTCGACAAGCAATCTGAAGGATCGATCCGTTGAGATTGGCGGACACCCATCTCGTGCGTCTGATTGGTCTCTTCGGCCAAGGGTTGTCTTGCCCAATGAAATGTGTAATTGGCGTCGTCGCCTGACGCNGGGGGGGGGGGGGGGGGGGGGGGGGGGGGGGGGGGGGGGGGGGGGGGGGGGGGGGGGGGGCAGTTGCGTGTATTTTGGGGCGAAGGAAGGTGCTCCGTTAACCGTCGCCATGCCCTTTGATGGCGGGGGGTAGCTACGTTGGCTGTTAGCTGGGTGCTTATCTGTGTCTTATACTTCGGTGCGGAATGCGTCTGGCTTTGAAAGAGGCGTTGGTGATGTAGGGGGACGTGTCCTGCTAGTATGCGGTAGAGGACGCACCCGCCTTCTGCTCAGAAGAAACACGGTATTTTAGGGTGAGGCTGGGCCTGTGGTTTGTGCCTGATGGGGATATGGAGTAAGTTTATGCGTTCGTTGACGCGAGATTACCCGGCCGCATTAAGTTGCGGTGCCTCACGTCACAACGCATTGACACAGCTGCAGCTACTTCAGTTCTATATTTATCTCCCCCCCTAAATACTCCGTGGGATAGTTCATTTTTGCATGAAGTGATTGCTACTTGTAACGTTTTTTTGTAATTTGTTGTTCCTCGTTGAATCTCATTTCGGAAAACGCCGTTGTTTCTCCGGACTGGTGAAAGGGCAGGCCACCTTTGACTGAGTTGGCGAGGGTTAAAGTTCGAAAAAGAATGGTAAAATGTACGTGTATGAACGAAAGACCCTGACTCTGTCACCTGGTCAGCGTGCCCTTGTGAGCTAGGTAACCTCTCGGTGCGTGTTGGGCAGACTGGGGGTTGTCTTGAAGCAGCGTGTTTTTGCCCGGCACAGCCCCGTAATTCCGCAGCAAAAAATGTCCTTGCAGTGAATGCCGGTGTACCACGGCTGTGGGAGCCCCGGAGGACAGGGAAGGGTGGTTCGGAGAGACGTTTCCCGAATATTGCTCAATGTCTAGTTGCTCAACATGCTACTCTGTAACATTCATTCAGTATTTTGTTGCAAAGCAGGGGCTCGCTCTCTCCATAATGCTGCAAGTTGTGCTAACCAACAACTCAGTGTTTTTTGCTGTCGTGGGCACCTCCTCGGCACCAATCAATGCAGACTTTGAAAAACAACATTGATTGTCAAGTATTCTTTGTTGTCGGGTCGTCCCCCGCCTGTTTTTTTTTCGGTTGCGCGGGCGGTGTTTAACCCAATCGTTGTTTTTGCAATCTTCATAGCAGTAAGTTTTCGGTTACGTCCGCACCGGTCCGACTGAGCGCGGTCCCTTTCCTTCCGTGCTCTTTGGCTAGAGTCTACACAGTCATTTTTGTGACCACGCACCGAGTCTTTACTCGATTTTGCGATTAGCAACTGACACGAGTTAATGTGAAGAAAAACAACACAGTCTAGATCACACAAAAGGCACACCTTAAAACAAGGAAGATGCAACCGGACCCCGAAAATCGCCACGACAGTCTATATCATCCCTCGACAGCTGCTGTGGTTGTTTGGGCGCATATCTGGAACGGCAATCGACTTTCCAAAGAAAAGACGTCCAAGCGTGATGAACATGGCGGATAGATATCACGTGGGAGTGCATCGAGACCATATGCGCACAGGGTCCTGCGTGTGAATCATCAACTGCTGCCGTAACCTCCCTTGTGGAGCAAGCTTATTTTTTCGTAGGACTGCGGTAACCCGGATGCCCGGGCGTGTGTACACAAACAAGCTCGGAGCATCCATCGTCCTGTTGTATAGTCTACTTCGTTGAATTGGTAGTCTGTGTGTGTTTGTTTCAATGTTTCCTTATACTTCGTTGGATTGCTTTGCATGGCCGCCAGCCACACCAGCCTTGCACATTGATCGGGGTCCGACAACGACCAGTTCGTTCGTGATTTGCAGGGATTGCGTAAGACTCACTCATGAAAGCAGCAAAGTCGGAAACCATAGGAAAGCTGCGATCGAGTGTCGAGTGGTGCTCATGCACACCCGTCGCGTCTGCACGTGTTTCATACGAACTCGTTGGTGTGTTTTGCTGGCAATCTTAGCCTTCCACGGTCAACGAGTCAGACCGGAGATGGTGTGGACGAGCGAGAGAGAGCGCGCATACATGAAAACATGAACGACCAAACCGCGCCGAGCGAGCAAGCACACTCAGGAACTGATTGCTGTTTACGTCGAACCACACGATGATGCATTGCTACACTATTGATTGCCTCACATCACACACGATCACAAGCAAACCACAACGAGGCGCGATGGCGATGATGGCACCGAGATTAGCATACAAGAAGGAGAGCAGTTACAGCATCGGATAATGTGCGTTCGCACGCAAGAACCCTTCAGCACAAAAGACGCTTGTTTTATATTTTTTTCACGAAAGTACGCATGCTACTTTGCATGTGCTTTGGTGCTGCTACCAATGTGCTGCTACCGACAGAAAATGCCGACAGACTGCATCATAGATGATGCTGTTAGCGAATGAGTCGAGAGCATCCACCATGCACAAGCGTGCGCCCCGCTACTTCTTTCGTTTGGCGAGAACAATTTACCCTGCGGTATGTTATTGGTTCAACTAGGGGCGAGCGGCCCGGGCTATTCGGACTTGACTCAACGGCCACGCGTCTACCTCCAATTTTGGTTTGTTGTGCCACATCAACATCAGCATACAAAAGCTGCACCAGCTCAGACGCCTCGCCACCTATATGCCTTTCTGGGTCCAGGTAAAAAATTGAAAACAGCGGGGTGACGTCCACAACAACACACATCCTCTGGCACATCGCGCAGAGTGACCACTACGACGGTCGGTGCACACACAAGAGACATAGACACATCACCACGGGGCTGGTGTGGCGACACAGGTGGTGCTGGGGCGAACAAGAAACGCGTGTGCTTTGCTTTGGCAGAAGGGGGTAACCAAAAACGCCAAGTCTTATGAACGGCGGCGGCGATGGAGAATTCTCCGGGGGAGGCGTGGAAGACGTGTTCCTCGCTGGGTTCGAGGCGTGGGGCGAGCTAGGCGGCGGGCAGGTGAGTCGTACGGGCATGGCGCTATGCTGCTGCTGCTGCACTCACGCTTGGGTTGCGTGCGTGCGCCCGCGGTCCTTCAACTGGTGGTAATGTTGTTGCGTGGAGGTTAAGACTCCGGTAGTTAACGCGCTCCGGTTAGTTGAAGGTTGGTTGTTGTTGTGGAGCAAATTTGGTCTAGCCCTTTGGTGATGGCGGTCCCTCGTAGCAATGGACAGCGGGCACACAGCTTCCTATGTCCACCGTGTAGAGTGACTGTAGATCACGCGGTTGTCGCTGTTGGCTTCATTTCTCCTCGTTGACGGCCTCCGGTTTTTGGGTCAGCGCTCTTGTCTCGCGTGAGTTCAGCAGCTGCTGCCGCCGCAAAAAAAAATTCACGCTTCTTCCGTTGACATCATTATTCCCATTCGCAAAGGGAAAAGGGAAGCAGCTACCATCACGCCTCCCTTTCGACCGCTGCTTGACGCCAACCGCAACGCATCGAGCGTAGAGCCCACGCCCCAGTCGGCAACGCCTCTCGGAGCACGCTTCCCAGTAGCGTCTCTCATCCGAAAGAGAGAGAGAGAGAGACCCCAAGAAAGATCATGGACCAAAAATTTCCAGCGCATGAAACGTGATCCATCGCGCCTTCGTTTTTTTTTCAACCCGCCGCCACACATGATCGATCTTATATGCCATCAGCAGATGCAAGGCTCGCAAAGCGCCGGTTATAGCCCCGGCTCTGGTGCTGCGGGCGGAGCCAGGGCTCCTCCCGGGATCGGTTCCATGACGGGGCTGGGCGGAAGCATGCAGTCTTTCCTGGGAGAAGCTGGCATGCTTCCGGAGGGCGGTGGGAGTGGGGCGGAGAGTGCTGGGGGTGATAGCAACAACAGCCGTGGATTGCGTAGAGGTGGCGCTGCAGGCGCTGCTGCTGGTGCTGCATCATCCAGCGAGCCTTGCAAGATGGAGCTCATGGAGGAAGAGGAGGAGGAGGAGGGGGAGGAGGATCACGACGACTACTCCGAAGACGACGAAGCCGAGTATAACCACCAGTACGAGCAGCAGCAGCAGCAGCAGCGCAGCAGGAAGAGCGGCGGTGGGAGCCGGCGCAGCCGGACCGGAGCCAGAAAAATGCAGCGACAGCAGGAGCAGCAGCAGCAGTTGCAACAACAACACCAACAGCAACAAGGCGTCCGCGGGCTTGGAAGGATTTTCGGCGTGGGCACGCACCCAGTGGTGGCCGAAGCGCAGGCTAGAGCGGAGGCCATGGTGCACGGACGGGGAGGAGCCAGGAGCGGCGGCGGCGGCGGCGGCGGCGGGGGGGGAGGCGGGGGAGGTACGTCGGCCGCGGAAGCAGCGGAGAAGAAAAGGAAACGGGCGGTTCTGTCCAAGGAGGAGCGGGCCAAGCAGAATAGGGATAGGAACAGGGAGCACGCGAGGAACACGCGGCTGAGGAAGAAGGCCTTTGTGGAGGAGCTCAAGAAGCAGGTAATGCGTGTTTCTTTAGCTTCGGTCTGCTGGTGTTGTCAAGTTTTAAAAGCTTGCTCTGCCGCTGCTGCTGCATACGTTGCCTCATGGTCGTGTTCGAGCGCTGACTGGATCCTAGCGTTGGTTTCGGATACATTTTTCCTCTCCTTTTCCTCAATAAATTGTCACCCCCTGCGCTCGAGACTTACCACCCGGACAAGCGAAGTCTACACATGGCCATGTTGTTTTTTGCGCCGAGCCGGTGCTGGTGGCACGCACAGCAGCGGGGTGGGTGATCCACGGCAGTACAATACGTTTTTGCGGCCATCCGTAAGTAGGAATTTGTCGGGAGTGTAGACCGGCTCTTTCTTGCACATATCTCCGGCCCTTTTCTCTCCGGCCCTTTTTTTCCGCGAGTAGGGATGTATGTGCTGTGCTGCTCTACAAGAACTGAGCTACCAAACAGCTGCTGCTGTGGGGGTTGGTATGCTGTCGGCATGGCTGTTGGGGCTGTCTTCATCGATGCCGACTGTCGTCGTCTGTGCCTCTGCTGCGCATACGTATGCTGCAATGCCTTCCTTCTACCGCGTGTATTGCATACGTTGCACAGCAACAGCAGCAGTCTGTTGGGTAATGACATCTCCCACAAATCTCCGTCCGTCATCACACCGCCACCTCAGTCAGTTTTCACCGCAACAATTTGCCGGCCCAAACCACGGGCAATGCAGTAGCAGCAGGCCACTATTTGCGGACTTCTCGAGTGGGCAATGCTGTACTGCTGCCGTAGCGTGGAGGCAGAGGCAACCCCTCCCCTCTCATGCGTGTTTTGATACAAGGCATAACATAACACGTGGATAAAAGACATGTCTCGAACCGAAAAAGGAATTGTGGCCGCCCTGCCCTGCTGCGGTCTCTCTCACAGCACAGGGATACAAGAGGAGTAGCAGTGCCCATCATGGTGTCTAGACTATTCCAAAAAATGCCGCCAGTGTATGTGTATCTCTCGATGGCGCCATTAATATTGCAGAGCAAGAGCAGGGGCAGACAGCGCACTAGGTTCACTTGTTTTTTTGTAATTGTGTTGTTTTGGTGTCGTCATTTTATGGAAGAAAACAATTTTCGGCCCCGCGACGCATGCAATGTTCTATTCTAGCCTGAATGGAATTATGGTGTCTACATGGACTAGACTATACGATGGACCTCCGATGCTGTTGAAGCAGACTGTTGCTGTTGAAGCAAGAAGGCAGTTGCCTTATTTTTTTTGCTATCTCGGCGCATGAAGGAAGTCATGATGCATCATCCCGTGCGGGGGTTATTTGCATGTATTTCGTGTTTACAGACAGCAGTACAGCGGCTTTGTTGTGGTGACGGCGTCGTGGCATCAATAACTCCAAGCAGGACAGCAGTACACCACGCATAGCAGGTCAAATGGAACCCTTTTAAGTTATAGTAGGCGTAGATGCAAGACTAGTTAATGCCTCTATGCATAAACGTACATCTCACCGGTTCCTCATGCTTGTCACAAATCGGTTAAGAATTCGACAGCGGTGGGTAACAAAAATATAGATAGGGGACCCGGAGATGAGGAAAGTCAAAATCTACAAAATCGGGTCGAGCCTCAATTTCTTTATCTGGGCAGTAGCCGAAGTCGGCCTTTCTCTCAAGACGGATTTCTCATTCCTTTGGGATGTCGCATCCTCCTCCTTGATTCTCGTATTTTCTTATTTCTAACGGTGAAGAAACAACAACACACCAAGACTTGATGCAGCATTAAACCGATAGCTTGGTGTGGCGAACATCGGTGGTTGTGGCAGTACAGAAGTACAGCAGCAGTAGGAACAGCGCAGCTTGCAGCGGCTCTGGGACGCGGGGGGCGCCGCGACAATAACCACTCTCTGCCCCTACCAAAAGCTTACATGACATGAGCTAGGTTAGGGGTGGGAGCATGGCAGCAGCAGCAGCAGCAGCAGCAGCAGCAGCAACAGCAGTGGAACGTTTCGTTGGATACGCTCCGCCAGCTTCTATCTACCCTTTGTTTCTGCTGTCTTGGGGTATCGCACGATCGTTCATGTTTCATATTGGGACGTATCTTGTGTTGCGGCCGAGATTGAGCTGTGTTTCTTTGGCCCTTGTTCACATCGTGCGCAAAAAGTTTTTTCCCTTTTTTTTTGTCGCTGTTTTTTCTTGTCTGCGGGCCCCATGTGAAGGGTATTTGGTTGCTACAATGCATACAATGTACACACGCTTTAGGGAGCTCCAAGGCACTGAACTGCCGGGATTATGTACGAAGGGCGTGGTGAGATACTGCCTACAGCAACAGGGACAAGAGTTTGTACTGCCAGTGTGTTCCATGTGATTCTTTATTCGTTTGCAACATCGTCCGTGCCTTTTTGCGTAGTGGACGTAAAGTCAAGCCTTTGAGATCTTCTCATGATCCCACAGGGCGTGGAGTGGCTTTAGCGTGATGGTGTGTATTGTACACATCAAGAGACCAACCCCCGCCCCACCCTCGGGGTCTCGAGATATCTTAGATTCTTCATGTTTGGTTCTTCAGGACATTTTTGGTCACGCAAAGCTCACCGTCCGCGTATATGGTAAAGCAATGGGATCTCCCCGTGTGTGCGTGTGAGGGGGGGGCTTGCTCTTGCCCTGTTCCTCCCATATTTTTACCTTCATTTGCCGGAATTTCTACTTTTTGGCCAGTGTTGGACTACTGCTGTAAGAGCTGTATGTCGAGTGTTTTGCTCTTTTTGTGCCAAACCCTTGGAGACGGTGAAACAATGCATTTCTATTTATTGCCTGACAGAGGAAAAAAAATGTGTCAGCGTTATGACGCTATCTTGAAGGCGAAGGTGAAGGTACAGCGTAGCCCAAATTGGCCGCGAAACACTAGACTCCCCAACCAAGACCAATAGCGAGTTCTTTTGTTTGTTCCCCACTTCAACGTTCATTCCCCCTCAGATCCACAGGAGTCGTCTGGTCAGATATGTATATAGTCTATGTATTTTTGTAATAATTACACTACGAATCGATCTCGATCCATTGAAAAGAGTCTTATATAGAATATATAACGATGAATCCGTAGCGTCAGCGAAGGCTACCTGTATTTCCCCAATTTCCCGAGCAGCGCACGGCGATATCTCCCCCTAGGGTAACAGGTTCAACGAGACAGTTTAGCGGCCGTTGTCTGTCTGTGTGTTATTGTTCTCACGCTCCCCCCGCCCTCTTGGCGACTCAACCGTATGTAGCCATATTGCGAGACAACCCTTAAACTTTACGCTACAGCAGTGATGGCTATAGACTCTCGCCTCTTTCTTCCAGGGCGAGACACTCCCTACCGCCCAGTCTGACTTTTCGGCCGCCCTTGAGTGGTGCGTTCGATTGCGTTGTATTACGTTGCACTGCATAGCCGACCGTGGTTAGTCGTGGTTGTATGCACGGTCTGTCCTCTATCTGGGACTCGCGACTAAGGACATCTGAATCGTTTTACGGCGTTCTGGCATCGTACTGCATCGTTCTGTGTCTCGCGCATGAAAGAAGTCCACGACAGCAGCATCAGATAGAGCACCACTCAGCACAATCTGGACAACGTGGATAAATGGGTTGCCGCTGGGGATAAAATCTCGACCTCCGCTCAAGCCTGACCCGACGGC